AATATCTTTTTAACGAACACGAATTATAGGTTTACCTGCCTGAGATAGGGTTCGAAAATTTTTAAGATTAATTAACGTTACGATTTTCCATATTAATTTACATATTGACACTAGAACTGTCGATCTTTAATGGGTACCTAATTACAACGTGCACAGATTATAGTAACTTTAGCGGTATAATAAATATGAGTGAATATATCGATTACAGTTCTTTCTTAACCCTTTGCACTCTAGAGGTGCCCTTTAGTCGCCATTTGATAAAATTTCGAAGATCGATATTAATTAGTATGTCAAATTTAAGATAATGTAAGAGGCATCGAAATCAAATAATTCTATGTGTTAATTATTATACAATTTTTTATTTACTGCTCAAAGAAATATCGTAAGCTTTATTGCAGAAAATCTTTGAACTCCTACTCTGCTTTAGTCAAAAAATCGTCGAGTGCAAAGGGTTTATATGAGTTCATACCAATTTTATTCTTGAAGCAGGTATATGTGTTCGGGGACCAATCATTTTCACTGGGTTGGTAGTTCTAGTGTTAATAATCAACGTTACAGTTATTTACTTATGTAATTATGTAATAATTACATATTAAAAATATGAAACTGGAAATGGGGTTGTTAAAGATTCGTCGTGAAAATTTCCATGAACGAAGGAGGAATGAATCGGATTCTTCCGAATCGAGGAATCAAAGTTTTCACACAGAGACAGATCCATTGAAACTATGGCGGATCTGTTACCATTCTAATGAGACTCTTATCGATCGACGTTTATTTTAATTAGTAATTGTTGCGGCATTTCGTCAGTTCTAGAAATAATTGAAACGATCACTCCCGCATCCTGTTAACACTAACAACCGTCAGACGTCGAGCTATGGTATAGAGCTTGCCCGTGCCTCGAATATAGAATTACCGATGGCTGTAAGTTAATAGCGGAATATAAATAAATAGGTATTTCACGATCCCGTTCGCATGACGGTGCACCGACGTTAATAAACTATCGGAATCGAAGATGATGTTCCATCTCGAGCTGCATCGCAAGTATAAGTAACGCGATTGAAGAGTCGATATACTTATTCCAAAAATTATTCCGCATAGAGATATGTAAGTTTCGAGTTTGAGAACAATTTACATGTAATTGTCAGAGTAATTCAAGGATAAATGGAATAAACGTTTACGAAATATTTAAATATTTAAAGTTTATTAATCGATATTGATTAATAAATATTTCAATATTTAAATTTCGTAAAGCTCGCGAAATATTTCAATTCTAAACGAAGGGTATTTTTCGCGCGTGAGAAATTATAGAAAATATAGTCATTTTTGCAAGTGCAAAATTTTTATTTTTAATTTCAACTTTTTCGAACTTTTAATTTTAACTTTTTAATTTGATATCGCAATCGGTGGTGTAGCAAGTTATACTGTGTAGAGATTTTAGATAAGCATGTTTTTAGGAACATGGCTTCATGGTGTTCATTTTTATACACGTTGAAGTAAATAGAGCATTTCCAAAATATCGTAGAATATATTATATGGAATCGTTTAAAATGAATTGAGGAAAGGAAGGAAATCAAAAACGTGTATCAAGTATTCGCAAAATTAAAAATGTACCATAATGGAAGACAAGAAATATGAAGTTTATTAAAAAATTATTCGACAGCATCCCCGTAAGAATTATTGCTTGTCGAAGGAACAAGATATTAATCGCGTCGATATTTTCTCCAAAAATATTTTCACTACCCTAAGATTTTCGCACAGTATAACTCGCTATACCACCGATTGCGATATCAAATTAAAAAGCACTCCATTTTATCTACAATGTTAAAAGTATCCTTTAACTTTTCCGTCAAAGTATATTGTACATAAGCACGCTTAAAATCATCTATAAAATAATTTAGCTCTTTGGGGCACGCTGGGATTAAAAGTGTCCCACTTTTTCGATGCACTCTAATACATGCTGGGACATTTTTTGGGGGCCTGCGGGGGGGAGGGGAGGGGCTGAGACGTTTCCACGGTGTTTCCCAAGCGGGAAACGCGAAACGAGCCGGTGTCATCGGAGAAACGGCGAATCGAAAAAAAATCGCGATGAATCGCTTACGGATTCCAGGAGCGTACCCTCGACTACGATCGCAGTCGCCACGGCCGAAGCCGGCAAAGGGCCCGAGATCCACAGTAGCGTGCATAAATTATAGACGTCCCAAAGTCAAATCTCATACAGCTCGCACACACCTGTAAAATTCTGTACGCACACGCGCTTAAGTACGTGATACGGTACTCGGTGAATCCTGGCCGAATTTCAAACGCCGGACGAACATTCGAGGAAGAACCCCTGTTCCTCGAACACAAGGGGGCGACGTACGGAAATTTCTTCGATCCGATCGATAATTTATCGAATATATTTTTCCGTGGAATCAGTGCTCGATGGAATGTACGCGAGGGATTCCTCGAACCGCCATTTTTCTAACGAACGTTCAATCGCCAATGAAGATAAAGTTCCTCGATTTCGATGAGAACGAAGACACCTTTGGAAATTAACACCCGTTTCTCATTGCCATTGTCTATTTATTCGGTGGAATTACAGATTTATATTTCAAACCTCCAAGGTGACATTTGCATTCTCGTACGAATATCTTTTTAACGAACACGAATTATAGGTTTACCTGCCTGAGATAGGGTTCGAAAATTTTTAAGATTAATTAACGTTACGATTTTCCATATTAATTTACATATTGACACTAGAACTGTCGATCTTTAATGGGTACCTAATTACAACGTGCACAGATTATAGTAACTTTAGCGGTATAATAAATATGAGTGAATATATCGATTACAGTTCTTTCTTAACCCTTTGCACTCTAGAGGTGCCCTTTAGTCGCCATTTGATAAAATTTCGAAGATCGATATTAATTAGTATGTCAAATTTAAGATAATGTAAGAGGCATCGAAATCAAATAATTCTATGTGTTAATTATTATACAATTTTTTATTTACTGCTCAAAGAAATATCGTAAGCTTTATTGCAGAAAATCTTTGAACTCCTACTCTGCTTTAGTCAAAAAATCGTCGAGTGCAAAGGGTTTATATGAGTTCATACCAATTTTATTCTTGAAGCAGGTATATGTGTTCGGGGACCAATCATTTTCACTGGGTTGGTAGTTCTAGTGTTAATAATCAACGTTACAGTTATTTACTTATGTAATTATGTAATAATTACATATTAAAAATATGAAACTGGAAATGGGGTTGTTAAAGATTCGTCGTGAAAATTTCCATGAACGAAGGAGGAATGAATCGGATTCTTCCGAATCGAGGAATCAAAGTTTTCACACAGAGACAGATCCATTGAAACTATGGCGGATCTGTTACCATTCTAATGAGACTCTTATCGATCGACGTTTATTTTAATTAGTAATTGTTGCGGCATTTCGTCAGTTCTAGAAATAATTGAAACGATCACTCCCGCATCCTGTTAACACTAACAACCGTCAGACGTCGAGCTATGGTATAGAGCTTGCCCGTGCCTCGAATATAGAATTACCGATGGCTGTAAGTTAATAGCGGAATATAAATAAATAGGTATTTCACGATCCCGTTCGCATGACGGTGCACCGACGTTAATAAACTATCGGAATCGAAGATGATGTTCCATCTCGAGCTGCATCGCAAGTATAAGTAACGCGATTGAAGAGTCGATATACTTATTCCAAAAATTATTCCGCATAGAGATATGTAAGTTTCGAGTTTGAGAACAATTTACATGTAATTGTCAGAGTAATTCAAGGATAAATGGAATAAACGTTTACGAAATATTTAAATATTTAAAGTTTATTAATCGATATTGATTAATAAATATTTCAATATTTAAATTTCGTAAAGCTCGCGAAATATTTCAATTCTAAACGAAGGGTATTTTTCGCGCGTGAGAAATTATAGAAAATATAGTCATTTTTGCAAGTGCAAAATTTTTATTTTTAATTTCAACTTTTTCGAACTTTTAATTTTAACTTTTTAATTTGATATCGCAATCGGTGGTGTAGCAAGTTATACTGTGTAGAGATTTTAGATAAGCATGTTTTTAGGAACATGGCTTCATGGTGTTCATTTTTATACACGTTGAAGTAAATAGAGCATTTCCAAAATATCGTAGAATATATTATATGGAATCGTTTAAAATGAATTGAGGAAAGGAAGGAAATCAAAAACGTGTATCAAGTATTCGCAAAATTAAAAATGTACCATAATGGAAGACAAGAAATATGAAGTTTATTAAAAAATTATTCGACAGCATCCCCGTAAGAATTATTGCTTGTCGAAGGAACAAGATATTAATCGCGTCGATATTTTCTCCAAAAATATTTTCACTACCCTAAGATTTTCGCACAGTATAACTCGCTATACCACCGATTGCGATATCAAATTAAAAAGCACTCCATTTTATCTACAATGTTAAAAGTATCCTTTAACTTTTCCGTCAAAGTATATTGTACATAAGCACGCTTAAAATCATCTATAAAATAATTTAGCTCTTTGGGGCACGCTGGGATTAAAAGTGTCCCACTTTTTCGATGCACTCTAATACATGCTGGGACATTTTTAATCCCACTTCGAAATATTGCAATAGCTGCATGCTCATAGGTTTATATTTCATCTTAAAGCAGTCGATAATACCTTCGACAAATGTTATAAACGTATTCCCTCATGTTGGCAACATATAACATGAGACGTTGGGACAAATTAAGTCCCAACCTTTAACAACAAATTTTTATTCGTAACGTTACTAGTAAAAATATCCCAATTTTGTTTCATTCAAAACGCATTAAAATTTCTATGCAACACGGATCTACTTTATCATCTGAAATCCCGTGCCTCAAAGAGTTAAATCGTATGCATCCTAAAAATTGTGGAAAAATGAAGAACATCGATTCGAAAGAAGAAGAAAAGACAAAGGAATATGAAGACCATAGTAATGCACGCCATGTTTCATTCAGTGACGATCTTACCGTGTCTCGATTTAGACAGATCATGTGCAGGTGATGCCGGTGAATCGATACTACCATCGTCCTCGCTATCGGTGAAGCTGGCCGAGCCACGATGATTCGAGCCACGCTGACAAGCGGTGGGATAAGCCGCACCTTGAAGATGGTTCGTTCCTGGACCGAGATGCTGCGACAGCCGATTCTGATAGAGATCCTGATGGGACGGGTAACTGGCGGAGGTGTGCGCCGGTAACATCGGGACACCGGAAGCGCCTCCACTGCCGTACATCCGCATCGGTAGCCATGCACCGTACAAACCGAGTGGCACTCCAAAACCTGCAGTACAGACGGTTAATTAATATTTCGCGAGTACTTTGTTCCACATCGCTTAACTCCGCCGGGTAATTAACGCGTGACCGTGCGTGTTTCTTAATCGTCCTAACTGTCTTTAATTTTATTAAAGTTATTAATATAACCGGAGAAAAATTTTCGAAACGTATCGTATCCCTTATGGAATTATATTTTTGGTAAATTATTGTACTTTCCATTTATTCCGTTTAATCTGATATACATGTATCCTATTTCTCTCTTTTTCGTTTTCTGCTTTGTATTATATAGTAGGTATGTCATGACGAAAAATTTTCGAAACGTATGGTGTCCCTTATGGAATTATATTTCTGGCAAATTATTGTACTTTCCATTTGTTTCGTTTAACGCGATATTTATGTATGGTATTTTTCTCTTTTTCTTTTTCTGTTTTCTATCACATAGTAGGTATGGCATAATGAAAAATTTTCGAAACGTATGGTGTCCTTTATGGAATTATATTTTTGGTAAATTATTATAATTTCCATTCGTTTCGTTTAACGCGGTATATATGTATCGTATTTCTCTCTTTTCCCTTTTCTGTTTTATATTATATGGTAGATGTCATAACGAAAAATTTTCGAAACGTATGGTATCCCTTATGGAATTATATTTTTGATAAATTAATATAATTTCCATTTGTTTCGTTTAACGCGATATTTATGTATGGTATTTTTCTCTTTTTCTTTTTCTGTTTTGTATTATATAGTACTTAGGCATGTCATAACGAAAAATTTTCGAAACGTATGGTGTCCCTTATGGAATTATATTTTTGGTGAATTATTATAATTTCCATTTGTTTCGTTTAACGCGATATTTATGTATGGTATTTTTCTCTTTTTCTTTTTCTGCTTTGTATTATATAGTAGGTATGTCATAACGAACGAAGATAGGCGTACCCAAACTATCACAGTGGCGATACATATTTCAATGAATACCGTAGATAAGACTTCCTGTGAGTAACGCAGATAACATTCGTAGCGAAATATTTTAACGAGGAATTGTTCCATTTTTACTCGATTCGTTGATTTATCCGCTCGATACCGTGTCAATGATCCGCGAAATGTAAAATGCCCCCCGTTACGCGATATAGCACGAATTTAGAGCTTATCGCGTTCTTTGGGTGACGCAACGTTTAAGACGTGTTTCAGGTGAATTTATTTTAAGTAGACTTCATTCCGCGGCAAAAGTAGGGCGTTCGCGAATTAAATTATGCATGCTACATCCGGTAATTGCAAGATTCAGAATGAAAAGGCGGTTGTAGAATATGTAACGATAATTAATTGTTGATGCATCTCGTTTCTCGGTATTAACCAAATTCATGTTTTATTCCGCTGGTCTACAGATTTATACTAATTCGGAATATTCGGTGATACCTAATTAAAATCGTCCTCTCCTGTCGTTCTTAAGGACAGGAATAATTAAAAATTCAGAAATAAATATAAGTAAAAAATAAACAATAATTATCGTGCGATAACCCGATTAGTATCGCAATCACGAGACATAATTATCCGTCGATCTTAGGATGCAGCTGCTTGCAACGGAACATTTGTGAAAATTAATAGCAACAGCGTTCCGCGAGCTTTCATATTGGAACAATCGGAGGAAGCAGCGAATAAATGATCGACATCAGCGAAGAAAAGGAATACTATCGCGAGCATAACCAAATGTAATTTGATAAAAGCGTAACGCGAAATAAACGATAGGAATAAATGAATATAAAAATCGGAATAATTAACTATGCAATAATTATGCAAAATAAGATAGTAATTTTTCATACATTACGTTCCTTGATTATACGTGATGGTATACTACGATATGCCTCAATAGTTGGTTATACATTCTCATAATCTAGTTTGCGTTAGTACATCTACCATCTTGGCAGTGGCTAAATTTAGTTTGATAGCTAAATACTGAGCGAACGTAATAATTCCTAGATTTTCTAGCTACTTTCAACTTTCCCGATATTTTATTTCGCAATTCTCCAACTTTTTTGACTGAACTTTCACCGATTGGATTATAAGATCCAGAATTAGGTGTCACTAGGGACAAAATTGATAATTGCATAGCTACCGAGAAACCGGAAAGAAGAAACAAGCAAACGAATTTTGACAGGCCATTGCTAGAGATCTATTTAAACGTCGTCGAGACGAATACCGACAAATACTTTGCATGCATTAAACACAAACCAACCAGGAGGCAGTGCGCTGGCAGCTGCTGTCGCCAAATAGTGTCTCTGATAAAGATATTCTCTATCTCGATCAGAATCCTCTTCGTTCTCGTTCGCTCTCTCTCCCTGGGTCCCTGGATCGCAGTTTCCTTTCTGTGTACCACAATTCCCGATCAGACTCTCGATCGTGAAGGGTTTCGGAGTGGGTCGCCGCGGCAATTTCGATTCCCCGATCGATGACTCGAGTTCGTCGCTCGCTGATCCGACGTCCAGTTCCGTTTCCTCTACGTTCGAGTCCATTTTTGTTTCTCCGCTCAAAGTCCCTCGACGATGATTCGATCCGCGATCTATCGTCTCATGATGTTGCAATTTATGCTACTCCTCGATCCTTCGATTTTCACGTCGGATCTAAGATAAGAGTCTGTTTGTTCGGTGATTTTAAGAGTCTTCAACGAATTTTCCGTGCACTTACGTTTTACAGTACAGTTATCGTGTTCTATGGTTTAATAACGACGTCGAACCGCACCGCAATGGTTTTACGATTATATAATTCGATATGAATATTTATTGCTATATGAAAAGCGAATTTATGAATTCTAAAGTAAACTCGCGGCGCTAGAACTGCGTGAAAGATTGCGTCATTTGAATGATCTGGAATACCATTATTTTGTAACATACAGCATTTGGTGCATCAATAAATCCATCGTGAACGTGTATCTTCGACTGCGATGTTACTTACGTCTAACATAAGCATTCTCTCGCTGCACTATGATATATATAACAATTTTACAAGCTATCGGTCTCAACATTCATACGAATATTTCCGTGATACGTTCAACTTACTAATTACGAGTACCCTTTTATCGGAAATTTACGTAGCAATTAATTCCGTGGAATATCTTCAATCGGAGTCTATACGATCTATAACGGCTCCTAATCTACAAAAGCAATTTGCAGTTCACCGTGTTCGTCAATAGTTTCCCAAATCTCGCAGCTGCACCTGGAGACAGTCACAGAGGAACTCTTCGCAACAAAGAAACTCCACACGAATCACAAATCCAATTCCTCCACTTTACTCGTGTCCTCTTGCAATATGTCTCGAATTTCTCACTCGAAAAATCACTCGGTTATTCCAATCTCGTGGATCCCCTGTTCCCTCGAAATTTTCCCGCGGACAGGAAAGACGACCGCGAAACAGCTGCCGCACTCGGTGAACCGAAACTCGAAAGCACAATCGCGAGGCTCGCGTCGATCCTGTTCCCTCGAAGCTGCACCAGCTTTTCGCTGGCGTGCCGTAGGAACGCGTCGCGTATGACGACGACGTCGGCGTCGGCGGGGTGCGAGGCGAGGTAGGAAAAAAAAGGACACGTGGAGAGGACCGTACGGAGCACAAGTCGACGGGCAACTGGCGGCCGGCGGCGTGCCGCATTTCGGACGCGTTTCAGCCGCGGCTGTGATTGGCCGCCGCGCGGGCCAATCGCGTTCGTGGACGCGCCTACCGATCCGCCGACCGCCATCTTGCTGCCGTGGCCGCTTTTGTCCTTCCGTGCCCGCGATCCGCCGCCGTGATCGAGCCGTGGTCCAAGGATGAATTTCGCCCGTACGTGGCCGGATACTACGGCATCGATCCCGCGTTAATTGCCGCCTATGACGAACCCACCGCTGCGATCGTGCTTTACGGCCTCCCGGCTGGCTATGTCCTTCCTTTTCCCATCCCCCCCCCCCCCCCCCCCCCCATCTCGTCGCTCTCTTCTTTTCGGTTTTTCTGCCGTAGATCGGCAGACCGTGCGGTGATCGGTGATTCCACGGAGGTTCGGGATGCGCTGATAGGCTGCGAAGTTTCGGGGTGAATCTGGATGAGTTGCGTGGGTGGAACGATTTGGTAGATTGTCCTTGTGGGTGTTTCGAGTAGGTGAAAGTGAGGAGGAATTGAAAGGTGAGTTTCACTTGCCAGAAACCATTCGTTTGATCTTTTTCGAGACATCTGTTCTTTCAAGTGTGCTTAGGATCGTTAAATACACTGATCGAAGATCGAGGAGAATATGGAGGGTAGATATAATCGGTATAGTGTACGTTTGTAGAAGATGAATTGATACAACGAAAGTGGAAGCAAACGGGATATAACGAATATTAATATTCGCTCGCAATTACTCGCATGGTTGGCTTGGGGAAATTTTCTGCAATGTTGAATCCGTTTACGATCGCTGGTCCACTGTCGATTTTGCGCAAAAATCGGTCCGTGAGAATATTTTGTATGCGCGCCGTGTACGCACCGCTGAATTTGTACAACCGATGCGTGACAACGTGCACTAAAGAATGAAGTATCGCTGACGCTCTTTTGGAAGATACTCGTCTCTTCCAAATTCTCTTATGTCATCGTCATAATGTTCCCACGGAATTGTTCCCAATTTGAAAATCGCTAATTCGATTCCATTTTATTTCAGGGACCCGCGTCCGCGCTCTACGCCAATGCTCGATAACTGCAAAGCTCCTTAACCTCCCCGTTACCGAATCGCCTACATCCTCGTCATAATGCCAGCGTGATACCAAAAACGAGGAGCTGATCGCGACGAGTAAGTCAGTGGACTCCGAAGGATGGAAGCCAGAGTCGAGGAAAGGTGCGCAGACTACGGGACGAGATTGATCCTCGTGTTATGCAGGCACGATCCCAGCGACGCCGAGAGGATTGACACCGGGAAGGGTACATCATTATCCTGCGAGTGGATTGGCTCGCGCCAAGATCGGCCGGATAAACGCGCTCGTTAAGGAAGCGTAGTGCGGGGGTGGCATGGCGAGCAACCTAATGGGAGACACGTTCAACGGCGGCGCTCGCTGGCGAACGATAAAAATACAAGGGACGCGGTTGGTGGGCTTATGGTAACGCGCACCGTGCTGAAAGCGAGCTGGCTCGTTAACGCTGATCGCTATGCATACTCGTTATGACGTAAATACACCCACGTGACCGGTCGCGTCTAATAACGCGTCGATTATGCACGCGAGTCGAGCCACCCGAAATAGCTCGCCCATAGCACCGGATTTTGATGAACGTTAATTTGATGAGTAAGAATAGCGGCTGTTAATTTTGGTTACAGGTGTATCGTTAAGGCATTGTGTCGTTCGGCGTCGAAAAATGTGCCTCGGACGGGCTTTCTAAATTTTTGGGGGCTTATGAGGATGAAGATGAGGACGTTAATTAGAAGAATATCCTGAAAGGAATTTTACCGATAAACTTAGAAACGAGGTACACCGGTACCTTTAAGAATCTAGCTGTTCCCTGTCAAATCTTTGATTTTAGTAAAATGTGCGTCGAGCGGGGTTTCTAACTTTTTGGGGTCTTTTGAGGACGAAGATCAGGACGTTAATTAGAAGAGTATCCTGAAAGGAATTTTACTGGTAAGTTTAGAAACAAGGTACACTTGTGCCTTTAGAAACTGAGTTGTTACTCGTCATGGCTTTGATTTTAGAAAAATGTTCCTCGAGCAGAGTTCCTAACTTTTTCGGGTCTTTGAAGATGAAGACGAAGACGTTCATTAGAAGAATATCCTGAAAGGAATTTTACTGGTGAGTTTAGAAACAAGGTACACTTGTGCCTATAGAAACTGAGTTGTTACTTGTCATGTCTTTAATTTTAGAAAAATGTTCCTCGAGCGGAGTTTCTAACTTTTTTGGGTTTTTGAAGATGAAGATGAGGATGTTAATTAGTAGAGTATCCTGAAAGGAATTTAATTGGTAAGTTTACATACGACGTACACCTGTACCTTTAGAAATCTAGCTGTTAATTGTCAAATCTTTGATTTTAGATTATTCCGTACGATATATCCGTAGTATTTTTTCAGGAATGTATTAAGTTTCCATTTCTTCTTTCGAATATTCCAATGTTCGTCTTCTTTTACAGGGAATCGAGCGGTGGATGGAAGAAAAGTCGAGCAGAGGATGCAATTACTTAGCCGAGGATAATTTGCAGTTGGTCGTAAAGAACCGCGTGGCAGGTTACACCCATGCGTCGTTTCTTCTGTTTGTAGGCGTTTCCACGCTGGCTAATCGGTACATCACGCTAATAGCGACGCTATTTCGGCACTCGTTACCGCGACACGACTCTAATTGAGCTTTACAGAATCTAAAGTTAAACGGCTGGTCGTTATACGAAGCTCGGAAGGCCATGCATCTTCGAGCTCGTTGAACGACAACGACCTTTGAACAACTCCGGAATTATTTTACCACTCGCGTCGCGCGTTCGATTATTACCTGAACTCGGTTGATACCTCCGCTCCTTTCATTCCTCGAGTTATACCTCAAAAATAGTTTCCATTCAGCGATAATCGAATCAAACGGGACGAACATATTTGCATACACCCTCGAAGGTTTCAATGGTCTTTAAATACCGAGAATATGTTGCTCCGAGAGACGCTGTCAAGAGGGGTTTATCGCGCGAGGAAAACCGTCTTGACGAAAGTTGCTCGCGTGACAGCGAAGCGGAAGCTAGTATCGACCGGATTTGCAGGCGGATACAGGGCTCGACAAAATAGCACTTAACGGGTTGTAAAGCAAGACGAAAGCGCTGTAAATATCAGCCAAGAAACGCTTCATTCTGTCAGAACGTAATTAAGACGATTCGAGGACAAAATTTCCGCCAACATAAATTTACCTCTCGATCATCGCTCCGCTTTAATTCCGCGTCGACGTCGCCCATAATTATCGCGTCTTAAATTTCTACTCTGTTACGTTCCTGAGAAGTTCCTGAAAGAGGAAGTCGACTCGTGGAACGAACTCCGAACCGTGTTCGTGAAATTTCCCTATCGGAGTATCCGTACCCGAGGAATTCGTAAAATCGGTGACTTCTTCCTCGGTTGAAATTCAGCCGAGAAATCCATTTCTGCCGTCGTTTCTGCCCATTTCACGCGCGTCGACTCGAGGGGCACGAATTTCCCCGGACAGAATCCCGCTGGGCGTGCAGGACGAGTGGAAGACGCGCGCAAGGAGATTCAGACAGGAATACTCAGACGGCCCTAAATCTTGTCTCGCAAGGCTAGCTTCTGGGCTCCTCTTTATTTTGCGCCGCGGAGGCGTCGTTGCGCGTGACCCGCGGAGCTTTCGTTACGCACGTGTGAACGGAAGCGTCGACTCTTAAACGCTTCGCTTCTTAAGCGCGCCGCGACGTCCATGGCAAAAGCACCACTTTTAATTGCCCCGCGTTTGAACCAAACGATACGGTACGTCGTTTTGGTATCGTTCGAAATTTACTGTATGTATAGGAATTCGGTTACGTACTTACTGCCAACTGACTATATTTTATTTAAAAA